GACAATGGCGGGTTGGGGGCGGGGTTTTGCGAAAGGTCAATTTAAAACTAGATCCCGCTGGTGTTGAAAGCCAAGTAAAATAGATGGGTTTTAAGACGAGCTTTAAAAGTGGACAGTGAAGGGGCCTCTCTGACCTGCAAAGGCAGGTCATTCCATAATTTAGGGCCGATGACAGAGAAAGCCCTGTCCCCTCTGAGCTTCCTTTTTGTTCTCGGTACCTCCAAGAGCAGCTGATCTGCTGACCTGAGAGACCGATAAGGTACGTAGAGATGAAGAAGCTCAGAGAGGTAAGCCGGGGCAAGATTATGCAGTGATTTAAAAACAAACATAAGAATTTTAAAATGAATCCTAAAATATACAGGCAGCCAGTGAAGTGAGGCCAGGACAGGGGTCACATGTTCCCTCTTCAATAGTCCATAATGTAATTAATGATATAAATAGTACTTAAAATAATTCTACATAGTTAAACATGATGTAAAATGGAAACAAGCTGTCTGTTTTTGATGTTCTGAAAGTTAATTGATAATACACTGACAAGTAGGAAAGGGGCAGGACATTAGAAGATGTATCTTCTACCTGCTCCTTTTCGAACAGAAAATATAAAATTTTGCATGTCACATGGGCAAAATAATTTGTATTACATTTTATTTCTTAAGTTTGTTTTCATTCTATTTTCTTTTCTTTTCTTTTTGATTGTTTTAATATCTGTTCAAAAGAAAGAAAGAAAGAAAGAGAAAGAAAGAAAAAGAAATACCTGACTATTATCTTCCTTGGCCACTTTGGTACAACAGTAACTTCCAAACCCTTTTGAAATTCAGAGATTTTGAATATAAACTGCAGTTCAGTCAAACTTTTTAAACTGATAAATCACAGATTACTTTATGTGGTGCTCAACTTTTGTCAACCAGTTTTTAACTTTCAAACTGGACGATTAAATTGGTTAATGATGATTTTATTAATAACTGGCTTTTCATTTATATTTGTACTGTTGTTGTGCAGCAGTATTTGCCACATTGGTATAAACTGACTGGTTTCAAAAGGTGTGGGTTTACTTCTTGAACACTATGTTGAAGATGTGTGTTTTAGTCACTTACATGTACAAATGTTCAGGATTGTTTTTAGTTTTAATTTTCCATTAGCTTTTATTATTATTATTATTATTCTGTCGTTCTGGCTGTGTTGGTGAGCAAATGTTACCGTTTCTTTTTCCAGGTAAAGAATTTTGCTGTCATTTACCTGGTGGACATCACAGAAGTGCCTGATTTCAATAAGATGTACGAGCTGTACGACCCCTGCACCGTCATGTTCTTTTTCAGGTAGGGCTCGGTCTAAACGCTACAACAGGATCAGTCTAAACGATGCTGACATAATGGTTTTAATAAGGAACCAACTCAACAGCAACATGTCTGACTCAGCATTGTAAAAAGATCTTTGTTTTTTTTTCTTTGTCTTTTCTCAGAAACAAACACATCATGATTGATTTGGGCACCGGTAACAACAATAAGATCAACTGGATCATAGAGGACAAGCAGGAGATGATAGACATTGTTGAAACGGTTTATCGAGGAGCGAGAAAGGGAAGAGGTCTGGTGGTGTCCCCCAAGGATTATTCTACAAAATATAGATATTGATCTTTGCTCTTTTTTGTTGCGTTGCCTCTCCTTTTTAATGTTTTTTTCCCCCTTTGGTGCAGACAAGTGTCTACAGGTAATAAAAGTCAAGCAATGTTGTTTATTTTGATCTCATGAGTGAAGCAGGACTGTTTTGTTCTCAGAGGTCTGAATCATGTTACTTTGTGTCATCTGTTTTATACGTGGAGCTGAGTTGTTTTTCAAAGGCTTATTTCTGTGAAATAGGTGTGAAACAGTTTGTGTAAGACTCCATATTTAACTGTTGAATAAACATGGGTTTCTACATTTGAATTTTTTTTCTAAATGTATTTTTTATGCTTATAAAGATGACATTTAAAGACTTGCTTCAGTCATTTTTGGAAACCTGACTTTCTTATTTTATTATCTATGATAAAAGTTAATTAGTTAGTTAGGTTTTCGCCACTTCTGGATCAAAGATGTCGTACATGTTACCGCATCTCCACAATGGCTGGCAGGGAGACCATACAAAGCAGATACTGAAGATAAGATTTATTTTCACTTGTAAAAAACCAAGTATTTCTAATCTTAGTTGATTCATTTATAAAAAAGAAATACAATTAAACACAGCTGCTGTAATCACGTTTGATGTCTGTCCTTTTCCTCGATTTCTACAAATGTCCACTAGATGGAGCCAGAGGGCTTTGTAGACATGGAGCTGATTGCTTCACTTATGTTTAATGTTCATCCTTAACACAAATTAAAACAAAAGCTTGCACACGTGGGCAGTTGTTTACCTCAGTTATTGTAAAAATTGATATTTAAAGTGAGACATGTCAGTTCTGGAGTAGCAGCAGGAATATTCATGTAAATAAACTGAACTGTTACTGACGTCCTGTGGGGAACAAAAACAAGCTATTTTTGAAATACATAAGATGGATTGTGGATTTTATTTTGATATAATTCCATAGAGAATTACCAAAATTTTAGACAAAATCATATTTTTTCCAGACCTAGTGTAGAAATAATTAAATGGCTTAATTTAATTTAATTTTTCAAAATTATAAATTTGTCTAAAATATTTACAGACCATTAAAACGAGGCGTATCATACCGAATGACTCGTTTAGGCTCAAAACAGACCTTAAATCTTCCCTTGAGGTTTCAGCTACCTTTCAGGGAAGTGGGAGTAAATTGAAAAGATTCAGGAAGTTCCTGGAAAAATCTTTAACCAAACCATTTGGTTATTAAGTCTATTTTTCAGCCATAAATGACGTATTGGGGGTTATACAAAAAGAGCTCAAAATGTCTAAAAGTGACAAAAAATATGACCATATTTGTATCACTGTTAGTGGCCATCTTGAATTTTTGATGAGTTGAGGACTGCTCACATCTCCACACTATGTTTTCGCTCAATATGTCTGAAAATTGCTAAATTTTAGCTATATTATTTGTATTAGCTTTAGCTTTGATTTTTTTATATAAGAATGTAGGATGTGTTTGAGATTGCATTTATCAACACCACCAAACGCCAAAATTTCAGCTAAATATGATAAAAAGTTGCTGGGTTATAGCTTTTGTTTTCCTAGCTTTAGCGGCCATCTTTAAACGATGATGATGCTCTCAGAAGTAAAAAGTGACAACAAGCTACTTTTATTATTTACTGCACAGTTACAAAAAAAGAACAGCCTGACGAGTTGGGCGTTCACACTCAAAATCTAATTTCCCAGAGTTCCCAGCTCTCTCCTGCACTGACGCCTAACTGGCCCAGCGTGTTGGCTACATGAACACAGACATGGCTGAACATCAGCTGGCAGCTTGAGCTGTGCTTACAGCAGGAATCAAACATTTTTAATCACACATGGCTGCTCACAAATAAAATAAAAATAAAAAGAAACACCGCGCCTACAATACAACACTTTTGAGGAAGTAAAAGAAAAAGCTGGCGGTTCAGGGAGATTAATTTTTCAAGCACAACTAGAAGCTCCGGCTAAAACATGACCTAAATGTTCTAATGTATGTACGCTGGGAGTCACAACCATTAAAAACAAACCCATATCCTCATGTTTCTTTGTGTGAACACACCGTCTCACAGCCGCCCTCCAGGTGTGCCGTGTCCTTTTCCATCTATGTTAGCTAGAATCAGGCGTGACTTTGTCTTTGTCCTGTCCCCGCAGGGCCCACACACACTCTGACTGAGCTGCTGTCCTCTAATGGAGCGCAGGGTCAAAGGTCAGAGCTGTTGGTTCGTCATAATTCACATTATCGTGCATTGTTGATCCTTGTTACTGTTAATCATCTCAGCCTGAGGGGAAAGCAGAAGTCTGGACAAACAGGGCACGGTGAGAAACTCCAGTCTGGACTCAAACAGAAGCGGATCAGCGTGAGCGCTGACAGAAAGAGAAGTCGCTTCTTCCTGTAAAGTAGTCCTCATCTGGTTGGTCACTTTTTAAAATGTTTGTTTTTGTTTGATACAGAACATATTAACAGTTTAATATTTCATCGTCCAAATGAAACGATTCCGCTGTCCAAGTTTGGCCTGCAAGCCAGCAGTTGAACAATGATTTTGACTATAATGGTTTTACTCTAAAGCTGCAGTAATCCAGGAGCTTTCTGTCAGCTGATGGTGTTTGAACGAAGAGCAGCAGGCAGAGCTGTGTGTGTGTGTGTGTGTGTGT